TCAATGGACGCCGAGCTTCAACGGGGAAATGCCATAGGAAAACGCATGCACTGTGACGCGCTACAGGAGGCGCTGCATGAGAAGGAGATCAAGTCAGCCGACTCGAACTCGTCTTCGAGATTACCGTGTTCTAACGCATTTTTACTCATTAAAATGTTAACACAATAGTACACATTTGATCATTATTTGTTTGACATTACAGGGGAAGCTGAGCTTCCCTTGCAGTCTTAAAGAAATCTCCACTGAGGTATAGTGATAGTTTACTAGTGAAATACTTGTTGCACAGTTTATAAAAGTACACTTTCAAGTATACTCTCACTATAAAACTACTAAACTAGCAGTTCACTGACAGTATACCTGTAGGTTCTTTAAGTGAAGATAACATTGTACTTATAATTTACTATTTAGATTACTTTAGCATATTTTAATATATTATCCATGTTCCTATTAATGTATTAGTGTTTTATACTCGAAATATACCTTTAATATTTTAACTCTTTCCATTTTAAAAACATTTTATTCAAGCTTCATGCATCCTTTATCAACACTTGAATGTGGGCAAGTTTCATAAAAAAATAAAATAAATAAAAAACATTTTAAACAAAAAGCTGAGAAAGTATTTTTGTCTTTGCCTTACAGCAATTTGTCATTTATGACATAATATTTAAAATCACAGCTAATTTGTTCATTTACAGATATTGTTAGTAATTTTAGAGTTGAGTAAAATCTGTGCAACGCCTCCAAATCTCAAAAACAAAATCTGATACATCCATAATTACTTATGGATGTGATTTGTTTTTTAGCCTGTGAGATCGTTACAAATATAAAGTATTAAAAAAACTGTATAATTGGTAAAGTACAAAAAATGTTTCTTATTTCAGTGCTGTATATTGCAGTAGCACAATATTATATGAATATCAATAAACACTCACATGTGTTGAAGAACGGGTCATCTGTCAAAGGCATCCCATCAACAGTGAACAGACACACAGTCATGTGGTCACCGATGTTCTCGTGAATGCTGATCCTCAGAATGAGATCCTCTACTGTGTTCTGTAACGGGTCCATATCTGTGCAAACAAACTCAAAATTATTAGAATAAAAGTCATTATTGTCTTTCAAGTTTAATGGACTACCTAAAATACGTACCTTGTATTTCTTTGCGCCCTTGACATTTTGGGAATGAATAATAGAGGAAATATGCCTGAAGTGATTTCCTCAATGATGCTTTTGGTGGAGGAGCCAAACCGAGTCTCTGAATGTCCTCGATCATGTTCTTGAATTTGTTCTTCTGAACTTGCTTAAACTCTTCAGGAGACACCAAACAGAGAATGTCATTTAATAATAATAATAAAAAAAGTGTAAAAGTATCATTTGAATAATTGTTGTAGTAACGCATTGTGATAACTTTATTATTTAAAAAAAAATAATGTATGAATACATTTTTCCACAGAAATCAGCTGATAAATCTTACTCATGTTGTCCAAGTCCTCATCAGTCACACCGTCAATGAAATCCTTCACGTCCTCAATCCCAAGCTCCACAAACTGGTCATAAAACTTCTCTAGTTTGTAGTTTTCCAAAAGCTTCAAAACTTCATCCATCTGAAAACACATTCAATTTATAATGAGTGCATTTTCTTTACAGAAAATAGCAATGTTTCAATAAATATTGCATATGTTTGGTATTAATGTTATAGCCAAGACAAAGTTTACTCGTTTAGCTTGGCTGCCAGAGAATAAATATGCACATGTTTGGAAATTAATTCGTTTGATCATTAAACAAATCAAGTTACTCAATAATTATAAATCTGAAGAAAGGTTTTTCTATTCTTTTTCTCATTGTACTCAGTTTTCTCATTGTATGCGTTTTCTTTTACAGACAAAAATAAGCAAAAAAAGAGATTTAACTCAGACTGAAAAGTCAAAAATGATAAAATGCCCATGAGGATGCAATATTAATGCAATTCTAGAAATTGCAGTTAAGGCATGTCCATTGGACAGTGAGATGCTCATTGGGTCCGTCAAATACATGTGGAGTAGAAAACATGTTCACTGCAAAAGAATTAAAGTGAAGAATCAAGTGTGAAAACATCAGGTAAACCTCAGTGAGCTGTTTGATTCAACTTTATCCTTATAGATTATTTTATGATCCATTCATTACGTCTGTCACGTGACAAATGAACGAGACTCGTTGCCGCTGCATTATGATGGTTATGTCTTAAATTAAAATATGACCAAGATTTTTTTGCTGTTCAAACTATGCCACACTTAAACAACACTTTGAACAAAATGACTCGAAGATTCGATTGTTTTGATGAACGAGAAAGTCAGTAAAAAGGATCCGAACTTCACATCACCACCTGGACTTAGTAATTTGATTAGGAGGGATCTGTCATATTATAAAAATAGACAATAAAACTAATTGAAATAAGAAATAAAACCTTATACCCCAGCCCCCTTTTCAGCGATACGCTCGTTGTATTTCCAAATTTCATATGTAACGTTAGTTATGAATAACAGACCAATCTTCCCGCCCGGTCTACTGGCATTTTTAAAACATCTGCTTTAAACATTAGCCTACAATGTTCATGCTAACTTTCGTTAACTCTACAAAAAGTAACTTTAATCCACTTCACCTGCTAATTAATTACTCTTCGACTGCGATGATGCCACAGAAATATACAGAAATATACAGAGTTACCGAAAAAAAATTGAAGTTTAAACACAATAAGTTATATCCCAAAGATGGCGGCGCGCGCTTCTCTGGAGAAAAAAAAGGTAATAAAGACCTTATTAAATATAGAAATAGTCAGTTTATAGAAGCGTGAAAAATATTCTTACCGTTGTCTCCATTTGATCTGCCATCTTGCAGCCAGTATCTGTCTCTTCAGTCTCTTGAGTTCAAGACAAGTGCCAAGTGGTTTCTGATGAACAAGAAGGGGCGTTTTCCAAATATGGCGCCTTTCCAAACGTTGGCGCTTCAAACCGGGAGAGTTGTTTTTAATTAAGATACGGAAGCCTAAGAGGCCGTTGATTATTTCGCATGAGAAAATAACTTATGTCAAGATCATGAGAAATCAAGATATATAAAATGCAGCATGCTAGCTAGGACTTCCATAAAACAGGGAGATATCCAATTTTCCCGAGTGCCTGTCAAGAAGTTGGCTGAAAACATAATTAAACTCATGAAAATCACAGACTTTGTAGAGCATAATACTTGTAGCTTATAGCTTGAGAAGGCAAAATATATGGTTAATAAAATGTTTATATATTAAAGATTACTCTTTATTTTTTCAGACAGTAGGCTACAGAGTCTTTCTTTTGACAGTTTTTATATAACTTTTGTCACAATATAACTATTATTGCCTTTATTTTACACTTTTACATGTTTAATTAGCTATTCATTAATATGCCTAATAGCCTATAAATATCGCAATTTGCATGGAATGCAACTCACAGTGCTTCACATGCATAACATATAATGAGAAGACAATTTCACACAATATCAATATAGAATATTTGAAAACAACTATAGGCTGTAAAAGTTTCACAATGTAAAATAAAGAAATTGACCAGACCCCTCGCTCTTGGGTATTCCTATCCTCCCCCGGACGCGGCCATACACATACAATAATTTATTTATGAAAGTTTCTGGAGCTCAAACAGTGAACATCACTAGATGTATCCACAGAAGATCTTTCTTGTCCCATGTGCTGTGAAATCTTCAAGGCTCCTGTTCTTCTGTCATGTAGTCACGTAATCAACTGTCTGTATATTGCAGACCATGCAACAAACACACAGCAAAATCCCCAGTATTAAATTAACACTTTAAAGTGTGAATTATATAAACTCTGAGGAGAGTGTTAAATGAACACTGAAGCAGTGTTAAAGTTAATGAGATAATTAAGTGATTAATTGAGTGATGATTGCCTATTATTGAAGACACCTGATGTTAACAAGCAGAATCACTGAAGGAGAAAATTACATTTTAAGCCACCATTATGGTGAGTGTGTAAACATGATCTATAACATCTGATCACTTTTTTTTCTTTGTTCATCGGGCTTTTAAAATTCAGTTACAACAGCCTAACAAAATCTTAATACATTTAAAGGAGAACTCCGGCACAAAATGAACCTTTGGTCTAATAAAACATTGGTACCTAGTCAACAGTTCTCTGAGATTTGTTTTCATTCCCTCTAAAAACTGTTTAGCGTATAATGCTAGTACTGGGTATTAACTAAGTAAAAGGAAATTGCTAGTTTATACGGTTTATAGTAACCACTAACAAGGCTCAGAATAGCCCCACACTAACACAGAAACATAATGAGGGTCCATACATGCAAAATGAAGCATTGAAAACTTTGTAAGTGTACAGACTGTTTAATAAGAAGATACTTCATAAAGACAGTTCACTTCGCGTATACAAACAGAAGCCATAATGATTATTTAACATCAGGTGTCTTCAATAATGGCGTATAACATCACTCAATTATTCTCTTAATTATCTCATTAACTTTAAAACTCTTGAGTCTGGATCCAAATAAACTCACAGGAAAGTTCATTTAACATTGAAGTTTTTGCTGTGGGTGGAATAAAAATATGCCAGGACATTTACTTTCTGACCCCTGCACTTTCCTCTGTTCATTCAGATTTAGTCAATTACATTTTAAAATACCCAGCCATACAATTAATATGAAGAAAACAAATGCATTTCAGGAAAATGAAATATTTGCCATTTATGCAATTATTTGTTGTATTTCTTTTAGCATTTAAAAATACACAGCTGGTTTCCAAAAGATTTGAGGCCACTAAAATGTTTTCATTTGAAAAGACTTTATTTTCTTTACATTTTATTTTCAGATCAGTATAACAAATTAATTAATCTAATTTATTAGAAAAGAAAGGTTGAATTTGACTATTTTTTTCAGCAATCTGGTGTGTCAAAAGTTTCTTATTATTTTTGTTCTGATTCCCCCCTCCTTCTGTCGAATCTGACATCAGTTCAGGAGGAAGAAAAATATCAGAGAACAGCAGAGAAACAATAAGCTCTGAGAGACTCTCTCTACAGCGTTACACAGATTCCCCTCACAACATGTGACATGAGGTCCTAACAACCCTGACGACCCGCATAAAAATTCAGATGCACATCCTTTCATCATCGGGTGTGAAAAAGGCTCTGTTAAAAATATAAAAAAACAAGAAAAATACAAGAAGTTGAATCATAAACAAAAGACAACACAATGTGTTGCAACACAGTTAATCTGGCCTTCTAATGTCTGGAATTATTGTATGAAGTAAAGTATTCACATAATACAGAATAAAATAGCCATTAAATTTTCTTAACTTATCACTAAATTCTTACCGTTTGCAGTAAAGCAGTAATTCTCATTCCCAATACAATCCACTGTCTGTGAGCAACCTTCCCAGTTACAAGAGTAACATTTCTTCCCATTGGGTTGAGAGTTCAAGGCTGTGAAAGAAACAAAATATTTTTTTTTCATGTCTGTGACACTGGAATTAAACAATTCCTCAGCTGTGGATCATAAATGAGCATTAGAATAGAGAATAAGGTATCCCAGAATGCATCTCCCACCAACCAGCAAGCAACCCGCGTAATATCAGAGTACTGCTATTGTGTGGTGAAATTTAATTTTAAGAGTGTTTCAGGTGAGAATGTGGTTGCTTAAATCTCAAATCTGTGGTTTATTTATAAAGATAGATAATGAAAAACGCGAGCCCAGTGTAAAAGCCCTATGTGGACTCATAAAAACACAGAGCAGTGTTAATTTAACACTGGGGCTTTTGTAGATAGCCTACATGTGGAGGGATACAAACGGGTTCATGTATGAGGAGTGGAATATCTGTTGGCTTGAAAGGGTACTCAATAGCCTACTCAACCAATCAGATTCGAGATCCACAATCAGAATTAGCTGTATATATTCTCCTAAATGGACATTAGTTCATGAAGTAATAAAGAAGCATACCTGGGGCAGGTCTGGCATTGCACATGTTGGTGTTGCAGCACTGCACAGAATATTCACTTCTGTGGGGTGTTGCAGTAAAAGACCAGCTTTTACATTCACTTGCTCTAACACAACCTACTTCCATAGATTCTTGCTTTAGACCACCTACATACAAAACAGGAAACAGAAGGAAGTAACAGCTCGGGTTTGTACAGCGCAAAATACATGGAGGCATGGGCGTAATTAACGGGTGGGACGTGTCCCCACCACTTTTGAAACAACTCGGGACACGGATGTAAATAATACAAATAATAAAATATCTCTAGTTAACGAGCAGAGCATTCATTTAATTCGTTTGTTTACTCTCTCTCTATTTGTTCCAGTGAAATCACAAATTAAAATGAACACAAACGTGTCTCTTGATATACAACTACTGATAAACATAATTGGTTTTAATGAGAAAAAAAAAACATATGCGAGTGCGGATTAGAGCCCAGAACCTCTAGCAGTGACACGCTTGGAAAAAGTTATGCCTCTGGACAATTAAAGTGCATGTGTGTAATTGTCGGATCCATGTATTTCTTCATCAACACATATATTAGATCTCATCAAATGACAAATTAAACACAATGTATGCTAGCCCTCAAACCTTAGCCCTTAATCCTGTAATGGGCTATATGCACGCATAAGTTCCGCATTTGACGCAAGGATGCTCGTCTATTTCCGGTTGTGTAGATTAAAGCGGAGCAAAACCGGAGAAAACGGGATTATGGCAGAGTCTTCAATATTTACTGTCCTCCCGTCTTTGAAACGAAACGTACATACGTTTAGATGTAATTTTATATGTTTATTTGATATAATTTTAAAAAGAAGCATAAACACAACGAGGGGTGTCTGTTTTATCTGTTTTTGTGACTAACGTTTCATTAGTATAACCATGGAGTATAAAATTCAATATAAATTCTTGCTATTGCATTGGACTCTATGATCGGCGGAAGTTATCGAGCATCCCTAATGCTTCACCGGAAATACCGCCGTGCATAGAGCCCATTGTGGACAAATGTGGGCACAGAGGACTCAGGTGTGATCCTACATTTTATTTATTATAAATGTTATGTCACTGTCTTCGATAAAGTTTTGTCTATCCATTTATGGTGTTTTTTTTATTATTTATTTATTTTAAAAAGTACCATATTTTCTATGTAAGAAAATACATACATACATAGGGGGGGTCGGCAGCCGGAGTGAAAAGGAGAGAATATGAGGACATAACCCATAACTGGCTGACGTGCGTACAAAAAGTTCCTTTCAAAGTATCAACAAGGACGTATTGCGTTCAGCCAGAGAATGTCTAATTGGTTCAGCTTGTTCACCTGCTCAATTTCGTATCTCTAGTCGCTCTCGCGCTGGTATCGTTGTCAGTTGACAAGAACATCAGTTAGGTCGCCAGGGCTGGGCGATATATCGATATATTTCAAATTTGCGCTATGATCCATGCTCCAAGCAAGCTGCAGACTGCAGCTATATCGTGCATTCTGTCAGTTGCAGTCCTGACACCTCCGTCTCAATAGCATTAGTGTACAACGCGACAAATACTCGCAGAGGAACTGCTACATCAGTTCAGCGAGTTCACAAAAGTTCATTTGCATGTGCTTTATAGCCTTGTCGGTTAAACATGTCATTCACTGCTGATGCGCTGTTCTGAGCGCGAACACCCGACGTGCACATGAACTAAAAGCTTGTCTAACAGCGCCTGGTTGCTGGACTAAGTTATCTTTCGAGTATTATTTCGCTAATACTCTCAAATACACACAAGGTTTACATAAGAACATTTGGTTATGTCTAAACTCAAAGCAAACCGAGAAAATTGAGAGAAATCTGTTTGTCAAATGCTCCGTGTATATTAGACGTGTCGCGTACAGGTCTTAAAGTGACAGTAGCCCTAATAATAAAAATGCAGCCGCTTGTTCTTAAAGGGATAGTTGACCCCAAAATAAAAATTCTGTCATTATTTATTCACTGTAATGTTGTTCCAAACCTGTATTAATTTATTTCTTGCGCTGAACAAAAAGAAGATATTTTGAAGAATGTGGGTAACCAGACAGTTGCTGGTCCCCATTGACTTCCATAGGGAAAAATTTAGTATGGAAATCACTGGGGTACATCAACTGTTTTGTTACCCACATTCTTCCAAATAACTTAAACAGAAGAAAGAAACTTATTCAGGTTTAAAACAACTTGAGAGTAAATGATGACAATTAAATTTTTTTGGAAAACTGTTAATGTAAATTAAACACCAAAACACAGAGGAAATCACTCACTGCTCTTGACTGAGAACTTTAATACTAGATTTAATAAGAATCAATGTATCATTTATACAGTGAAGACTATATTTGACTTTGATTGAACATTTGCTCTCACTTTGCGGAAAAGATTTTGGTATATATATCGATTGGGGGGGGGGGGCTCGGTATATTTTCCTGCTTTTTTGTCCTTAGCCAATCACATGCCTGTATTTTACAATGCTCTAAATTACTGTTTTTCAAATTCATTTCTATGGGTGCCCATTTTTGACCCAAATACAAGATTAAGGAGGGTTTTTTTTTCACCCACTTTACATTGTAGAATTGAGTCAAAAAATTGCGTGTGTTCAGGAGGCAAGGGAAGTATTTTTTAAAAATAAATCAAAACTATTTTGCCCATTTGTCCAGAATACGGTTTTAGGATTAAATCGATTGCTGGGCATCGATATGTTATTGTACATAGGTGTACGGCTACATCTGATTTATGATTTAACATTGTATTAGCTTTAGATTTTGTTCGCCTGCTGTACGTGAGATATAACAGCGAGATGAACATTTAGAAAAGGTGATCTGAAATTATTATATACAAGATATTATACAAGATAATTTTTTTTACAAAAATATACAAGATATTTTTTGACTTCATTTTTTTTATCACTATACCGCTAAAATTGGTCACTAATTGGAAATATTTTGTCAAACCGTTGTTTGAAATGACATGCTATATTTAAATATAATGTCAAAATCATTTTAGAAGTATTTTCAAGGTCAACAAAAGTAAATGTGCACTCCTGACTTACCCATATATTGTACTCTTCTTGTACTCCCACACCTGCTCTCTTCAGTGTAACATCTCATTGTTTTGCTACATGGAATTTTTAGTTCATCACGAGATTCACGACATTGATAACATTCCAGAGAGAAGCTCTCTTCAGGTTTATCATGAGGTTCGTTAAATGTATATTCCATTTCCTCGTAATCATAACTTTCCAGAGCGAATCCTGAAATGACAATGAAATTAAACATTCAATGACCTATTTACATCTCAAATATCTTCAATAAACTGTAAATGTTTTCTGTACCTCCAGTGAGAAGAATGAAGAGAAGAGCAATAAACACGTGCAGATGCATCTTGTGATGGAAGACAAATGAAGAGATGAAGTTCATTCTTGCTGAAAAAAATATTTTCTGTCACAGTTTGGACTGTCAGTGTCAGTAACGCTCCTCCTCCTCTTTACTCACCTCCTCAACCATCAGTTTATACTCACTTCTGCACTGAGTTTGTGGTAAAGTCACAATGAGCAACAAAATCACTTTCAAAATCTAACAAAATCTACGGTTTAGAAAAGTAAAAGCCCCATAAAAGCATTATTAATATAGTCAAAGTGACTACATTATATGATAAGATGATAACTGTAAACAACTAGATTTAAGTTCTTAATGATACAGTTCAGTCTCATGACTTGGACTAATGTGCCTGAGCCATAATCACGGTTATGATACTCACGAGGAAGTGTTCAAGGGAGAAGAATAATTTTCATTCCACGATCATTAAGGATTACATAAAAATTAGTGCAGTTCAGAAAAAGCGCATACATCAAAATTGGATGAGCAAATGCACACAAATTGTGTTCAACTTGAGCACTAATAAAACAAGAATAGATGTCAGGATTTTCCCTGAAGATAATATCCATCATGCCAGAGTGAACTGCAGAAGTTATTCAATTCAATAAAAATTTATTTAGCACTTTTCACAATACATATTGTTTCAAAGTAATCTAGCAGAAAAACGGTCTTGCGAGAAATCGAAAACTGAACCAACAGGGCAGTTAACAAGATCTCCTGGGAGTGTATATGAGTCCACACTCAAGAGTGTTAAAGTTAATGAGATAAGTAAGTGATGAACTGCTTTAAAGGTCTTTAATTGTACAATACTGACCTTGTCCTTTAGAAAGCCAAGTCAAACTGGCCAACTAAAAGAAACACTGACCACCATAATGGTGACCAAACATTTTCAATAAAACATTAACTATACCTCAGTTATTTTTCATTAAGAGCTTCTATAGATAAATGGATAAATTGTTTAAACCTCTTCTGCTGAAATCTTCACAGATTTAATGTCTTTGTATCTAAAGATTGATAAGGCTCAGATTGAAGCAAGTTATAGTTCTTGTATTTCTTTTTCCTTTAGTGATTCTGCTTGTACTCTTCACAACCAACAAAACTCAGACAACAGAAATACGTTTTATCTCAACAGAACATTAAACACAGATCTCTCAAGATCTCAGCAGAAGAGAGCTAAACTACAAAATTCCCGTGAAGTGACTGTGGAACCCACATTTCACACACTGCAACCTACAAATAGGTCACAACCTCAAAAATAGTTTGCAAATGTCTTTGTTAGAATATCTACCAATAGTTGTCAATGGAAAGTCAATGACGTTAAAGGATGAGAACGGGCTGGAAAGTCATCACTATGACTGCAAAAAAACAAAATAAAAACCTTTTGGTTATACTTTGACCAGATGTCCTCACTTATAGTGAAATATTATGACAACCAATGTGACATTCGACATTTTACTGCTCCACACTAGTTTAAAAAGGATTACAATTCAGACAAAACATGTTTTTATTTGAATAGTGTTTCACACAGGTTTCTGTGATGGGTAAGTTAAGGGGCAGGAGTTGGGTTAGGCCATAAAAATATCTTTAACCTGATATTAAATCAATGAAAGTCTATGCAATGTCCTCACTAAGATAGTCAAACAAACGTCTGTACGTGTGTGTGTGGTTGTGTGGTATAACAACACTGAGTAAAGGAAATATACATGATGTTTCTTGTGAGTGTCTGTAATTCTTTAAAAAGATATATATATATATATATATATATTTCTTTTTAAACAAGCAATATATATATATATATATATATATATACACTCTAAAAAATGCTGGGTTGTTTTAACCCAATTTTGGGTAAAATATGGACAAACCTAGCCAATTGGGTTAAAAATATAATTTAAAAATTTAACCCAATGGCTGGGTTTGTCCATATTTTACCCAAAATTGGGTTAAAACAACCCAGCAGTTTTTAGAGTGTATATATATATATATAATATATATATATATATATATATATATATATATACATTATCATTATGTTTTAATTTTAATTTAAGTATTTTTAAAAATACTTAAATTAAATTAAAAAATATATATTTTAAAGGTGTGTCAAAATGTTCTTTTTTTAGTTTAGTCATACTGGCTGACCAATAATATCTGGCATACACCAGCTTGAACCAGACTAGAAATTCAAAGCTAAGGTTTTCTTCTTTGCCATGTGGGATCAGGTCACAGACAAGCCCGGGATTACTTTTAGGTGGCGGTGCCCTGGAAATTCACTCTAACAATCTGGTGCTGGTCCCATTGAAACCCATTAAAATTGCAGTATGATGGCCTGCAGTGTAAGCTGCTATATGTGTGTGTGTGTGTGTGTGGTTATGTGGGTAACAGTACAGGAAATACACATGATGTTTCTTGTAAATGTCTGCATTTCAAAGAATATAGAATGTGGTAATGTTGACTTGAACTCTGCAGTTCATTAGTTCATCCCCCCCCCCCCCCCCCCCTGTTAAATGAACACTGAAGCAGTGTTAAAATTAATGAGATAATTGAGTGAATAATTGAGTGATGATTGAGCATCATTGAAGACACCTGATGATAACTAGCAGAATCTCTGAAGGAGAAAACCATAATTTTTCCATAAAAGTCACTGTTATGGTAATCAGTGTTTGATTTAGTTGGGCTCTTGACTCTTAAGTTGTTAACTCACATCACGTACTAAAATGTGCTGTAGAACGTTGATATTCCAAAAAGGAGTCATTGTCCTCATTAAAGGGATAGTTCACCCAAAAATGAAAATTAAAGAGATACTCCACTTTTTTTGGAAATAGGCTCATTTTACCACTCCCCCAGGGTTAAACAGTTGAGTTTTACCATTTTCAAATGTATTCGGTCAATTTTTTGATATTTAGAAGAATATCAGTAACCAGACAGTTTCTGGTCTCATTGACGTAGGAATAGTAGGAAAAAAATATACTATGGAAGTCAATGAGACCAGAATGGTGACTGATTTTCTTCTAAATATAAAAAAAATCGGCTGAATATATTTGAAAACGGTAAAACCCAAAAGTTTAACTCTGGGGGAGTGGTAAAATGAGCCTATTACCAAAAAAAGTGGAGTATCCCTTTAAGTCATTAATTACTCACCCCCTGTACCAACCCCATAAGATCTTCGTTCATCTTCGGAACAAATGATTAAATGTGAGGGCTGGATCACTCCTCCATAGGCTTCGTAAGGGTTTGAAACTTGACGGCCCAGAAAGTCAATGAAGAAAATGTTTAAATATTCCATGTGACTGGCTCAAGTATAAGTTTATCAAGCGACGCAAATACTTTTTGTACGAAAAAACTAACAAAATAACGACTTTATTCAACTATTCCTTTTCTTCCTTGTAGGCCTGAGACGAGAGTTCAAGAGATTGTGCTTTTCGAATTACCCATCGCTTGTTGGTAAATGGCATGCACCACAGATTGCTTTGCCGATTGCTAGATGTGATTGGCAAACGGTTTGCCAGAATATAGCTACCCTGACCCTAAATACAATATATTTTTATATATGTTCAATTTTGGTTAGTCTACACTACTTATGTGTTAATACTCCCTTATGCACAGATGTTTGTGAATACAGGTGTAAATGTTTGACATGTAGTGATGTGTCGTTCGCCAACGATCCGTTCATTGTGTAAATGCGTGCGCGTCTATATGGGCCATAAACGGATACTCGTGGTGCCTCGTCTGTATGGATAGAAAATGGTTATTACAAGACACAAATTCAGATAGGCTTCTCAGAGTTTACTCAGCATGTTTTATTATGACAGGTTTCAAAAATAATGAATTAAATAATGATAGAAATAATGTCTCTTCTGTATTAGAAAAATAAAAATATAAATAACAAATAACTAAAAGAAATAAAAACTTTCTTTCAGGCCCACACAGACCTCATGATTCACTCAATGCATCTCAATTTATAAAAATTTAAAAAAAGCAAACTTGACGGTAAAATGTGCGGTCCTTCAGGCAAGCTCTGACCCAGGCGTACGCACAAAAACGGGTGAAATGAGAAATGGCGACACTGTCGGCAGTTGGAAAAAACACGTGAAAGTGTGTGTAACTGTAGACGGTTGTGTAAAATAAATGGCAATACTGCCTCTCACAAATAACACGAAGACTTCACAAAGCAAGTCTTACAATTAACAGCCTATAGCCTACATAAACACCCGTTTGATCGATCTGTAACAGAAATGCAAATTAACACATATTTCCAAAAAGAAAGAAATATGTTCTTCAATAATATTGCCATATACAATTCATCCTCATAAATAAGATGGTAAACAGATCGAAATAATGTAAAAAACTGATATTCTCGCCAATATGTCCGTCTAACGGAGCAGATATAGCTATTAGATAGTAAGTCAGATAGATACCCAGATAGCAAACTGACATTGAATCAACGTGGAAATATGACATCGAAACAACGTTGATCTGACATTGTTTTGCTCATCGAATTAACGTTGAACCAACGTCAGACGCGTCATTCTTTTAAAACTAACGGAAAATCAACTTGAAATCAACGCGTTGTTTCAACGTTATGAAAGCAAACCAATTTTCGATTTTCATTTAGCTTTGAAGAATGCCGCGTCTGACGTTGGTTCAACGTTAATTCGATGAGCAAAATCAACGTTGTTTCAATGTAATGAGAGACGTCGTTTCCACGTTGATTCAATGTCAGTTTGCTGTCTGGGAAGATATTAGGGAGGTACATAGATAGATCGATAAATAGATAGATGTATTATTTATCCACTGGGGAAAGTTGTTTTCATCATAAAAATATCTTCATCAGCTACGGAATCATGGTATTCATGCATATCCCTGTTTGTTTTATTTTTGATAAAATAGCGTATGACGTGTCTCAACCATTCAGAAAAGCTGCAAGAAATTACATTTGCGCTGAATTATTTCCCATTTAGATTATAACCGACAAGTCAGATGCAGAATGAAATGGATGTAGAAAATGCCCCATCACAATGCTTAGCCTAATGACGCACAATGGCTGATCTT